AAGAATAACACAAGAAAAGTAAGAACGAATTTTCCTTTGTGGTTGTTTGTTTTTGATCTGTGTTTTTATCTCTTTCCTTCTGTTTCTTTCTTTCTTTCTTTTTTGGTGTGGGTGGGGTTTCTATACATATACATATATGGCAAAATATAAGGATCAAATAGTTAAGATATACTAAAAGAAGAAGTCAAAAGTTAAGAAGACAAAAAATAAGAACTGGAGAAAATGGGTGTACAAGAAAGAAGATAAAAGAAGAAATACTGTACAGAAATCATAGTGCACGTAGAAGATGAAGAAGGACATCTCATTTCTCTTTTAACAGTGAGGAGGATTAAGTTAGAAGATGTATCTGTATTAGAACATACAAAGATTGTGATATGAGAAAGAAAATGCAAATATAATTGTAAATATAATTGTTTAAATTGATGGAAAATACAACTGAATAAAGATGATTGAAATCCCCCCCCCAAAAAAATACAACAACAACCCTCCACCTACCTTTGGGCAGAAATGGGCATTGACATTTATCTGCTTCCCTTTAAAATGCTTTAACAGATGGTGGGAGTGGGGTGAAGCTCAGTGGGAGGAGAAAGGAGAGGCCCCCAACATTTGAAAATTAAAATGTCAAAATTATAATTCTATTTTTTTTAAAATTGAAATGTTAAAAAAATCTTTTACAATTTTCTTTTTAAAAACATCACATTTTAACCAAATCTTCATTATGTATATGTAAAATACATTTAGGTTGTGCTTATGTTATTTTAATTTGAAGGTATAATTTTAATTTTGCTGTTTGCTTATGTCACAACTCTTAGCATGACATTCAGTATATGGAAAGTATGATTGATGAGGAACTTTAATGCAAAAAAGCATAACTGAGGGCCTGAACAGACTGTCAGAAATAATCCACCTTGAGACCACTTTAACTGTCCTGGCTCAGTGCTAGGGAATCATGGGAATTGTAGATTTTTCTCTGAGAAATTGAGCTTTCTCTGTCAGAGAGCTCTGGTGCCACAATAACCTACAGT